ATTGTCAGACGATGTCAACGTCGTTTTCCACGCAGGCGACTTCGTCGTCGTCGCCGGCGTCAGCTTCAACTTTGTATCGAAGTTTGCACACAATCAGTAAAATATTTTGGCCATCCTTCGGGGACGACCTCATTTCGTCTTTGTCGTTGTCAGTTGGACGAGTGCGAGGACGAGTCGACGCTTCGTCGCCTGCTCTGGGCTCTTCAATGTTTTTCTTTAGCCATGCACATTTTTCCGTTTTTTAATCTTTTGCCTTTGCCTGCTCGTTGCTTTCTTAGCCTTGCTGCCCCTTTCGTTGCCTCTGCGTTGTCCTGGTCTAGCTGAGGGCAAACTTTTTGGCGTTTCATCTGCAGCACATCAATTTTTGTTGCTGACGAGCAAAAGTTGCAATAGTCTAAGTCCAGGCAATGCCAAAAATCCCCATCACCACCCCCCACCGGCCCACACATACTGCTTGGCAATGTGAATGTTATTCTACTATTGGGTCGCAGGCTGTCCTTCCGGCTGTCTACTGATTGACGGCGACTGACAAGTTTCTCTTCGACTGCGCATTGACTTTTTCTTTGCAGTCGTTGCATTTTACGAGTATGTTCCAACTTTCAACTTGGCTCGGCTTCTGCCGAGAAGCATTTCACTAAATTTCTAATCCCTAAGTATATGGCAGCAGGCAGAGCAGCAGAGCAGCAGCTGCCTGATGTGTCTGTGCATGCTTCGGTCTTGGCTCCGTGAGCTTCTGTCGCTTCGTTGCATAACATGCTGTGTACCAGACTCTCTCTACCCCACGCAGCAGTGGCTGCTTGTTATTTGCTGGTCATTTTGTCAGTCAGCTGCAAGCAGCTCGAAGCTGAGACCAGCACAGACAAGTTCTTATTACATCTTGGCGACAAGCTCCTTGACCGTGTTTTCGTCTTTTGCTGTAAAGATTTTGCATGTTTCACTAACAAGTTGCAAGCAAATTTTCATTTTTCCAATTGACTATGCCTGCGACTATTGGAGCTCTGATCAAAAACTTAACTAGCCTTGTCAAAGAATTTACGAAAACTATTTAAGTCTCTGCATCTTACAGACTCAAAATGTCCTCAGCCAACGCTCATCAACACTCTAAAGCACTGGAAGCATTCGCATCAATCAATATGTATAAGCAATGAAAAATACATAGCCGAATGCATTACGATAAGAGAAATTGTAAAACAGACCAAGACAGAGAGAGAGAGAGAGAGAGAGTGAGGAAAAGGAAACTATTCTGGCTACTTTGTGTGTTGGAGCAGAGTTCAAACCTCAAGCTCATTGCTTAAACTTTTCAACCGACCAAAACTCAAACTACAACTCGAACGTGCAAGTGGACGTCCAACATATAGCGCATCAGTCAAAAATTGTTCTTGCTTGTCATCAGAGACGTGCCACGTCCGCGTGCACCCTGCCACGGGGAAGCAGTTGCTAAAAGATGAGGAAATGTTGCGAACAGCAAGGAAAGAAACTTTGATGCTGACCACAAGATAGGCAAATCAAGAAAAAGCTTCAACGACGCGAGAATACCCTTAGCAAGAATACCATGGAAAGCTCTGTTATAATGCTACGAGCAAAAAGAGAAAGTTGGAAGAACAACTTGATTCAATTGAAGCAACAATCCATCTTTAAGATAAGGACTTATATTAGGGCAGGTTCATTTAGATCAATCAATACATCATGATTGATATTTTGTATTCAACTCAAACAATGTGTCACATGATACGGAATATGTCATGCTTGAATCCCCATCGACATAATGATTGATTCAAACCTAAGTGTACAAAGCAAATATGTTCTATATGAAACTGAATACATCATGATTGATTCAGTTTTGATAAAATGGTATATTTGCATACATCTGAGCTCATCTTCATTCAGGTCAAGCAATACAATATAATTGAAGCTCTTGTTGAGATAAGGGCATACAGCATAGAGCACACATATAACCTGCACAGAGGCAGTCCATATGTGTTGCTTCTGGTTCGTTTCGTAGTGGACGCCGCATTGATGAGGGCCACGTCAATAAAATTGCGTGGGTGCGGGTTGATGGGGCATTTTGGCGAGATGGAAGCTCGACATGAAACAAAATGTCTAGCTAAGAAGTATAAAAGAAATGCGCCACGTCAGACTAATCCTTGCGCCATCATATTACAGCATCGTCGGGAGGACTGTTCGACTGCTCCGGCAGAGCCAAGGAAACTTGTGAATATTGTGCAGAAGGAGTACGCCTGCTCGTTTCATCTTCGCCTCGCCCGCTCTGGCCCCCGCCGGCGCCCAGTGTGTCATGGAAGCCATCAATCGTTTTGTTGAAATGTGCAATAAAAGAAAAGTCATGAAAACTTTCTGCGCTGCTCGCAGATTTCTCCAAGTAGGGGTCGAGTTGGGTTGAGTTGGGCCGGGTCAGGTTTGGTTGTGGATTGAGGTTGGGGTTAGGGTTTAGGTCGAGGCTTGCTGTTAGTTGCCTAATGCCAGCGACAACATGGCACGGCTACGACTTCGCATCCGCATCCGCATCCGTTCGCCTGTCCATCTGTATGTCTGCCCGTCATTTTCCTGCATTTGACAGCGTCTTGGCGACATTTGACGATTGACGAGGACGTCGAAGACGTTGACTCTCCTTGCTTTGGTAGTGGCTGTAATGGCCAAGACGTTGCCCACACCGAGCCGAGCCCCAGCATCCTGATGATGATGCTGTGCCACCCAAAAATGTCTCGGGTCAAACTGTCGTTCGCACGTTGAATTGCGGTTCGCTTGGGAATGGGGCAGGCAAACTGGGCTTGTGTATTGGATTTGCGCCTGACTGGGACTTGGGCTGGGAGGAGCTGGCGTCTTAGTGTCAGCGTCCGAGTCCATGACTGCGGCATCAGATTCTAGTATTCCCCTTTTCCTCTCCCCTCTCTCACTCTCTCTCTCTCGCTCTCGCCTGCCAGCAACTGCAAGCGACAAGTGCAGCGCTTGTCCCTTTTTCTCCCTTCGGGCCACGTCTTGGCTCGAGTCACTCGGGCTCGGCTCGCTCTATCAATCCGCACAGCACATTGAACGACAGCGTCAGGATTTTTGCAATTTGAGAAGTTGCTACGTGACATTTCAATAATTTTTGAAAAGTTTCTTCGCCCTTTGCGCCCCTCTCCCAACCGAATCCTGCTTATTTTTGCTTCTACACTTTTTTCATCTTACTTTTTTAGTATTTTGCGCCATCGTCTTCTTTATTTTATATATTTTTATAGTGTATTTTTGGGCGGCGTCCTTGGACAAAAATCGAAGCGAGGCAGCCGGATGTGCATGTGGTTTTGGTGCTGGGTCCTGTCGCATCGGGCGTCGCCGGAACTAGGAATTTTATATTCTGCAATTTTCGTGACAACGTCATTTTGTCCACGACATTCTGGCTGATGCGTCGTTGTCGTTGTCGTTGTCGTTGTCTTCTGCTTCCTCGACGTCCAGCCTCTTCTCTGCACTCCTCTATCTTCATCTCACTATGTAAGAAATTTGTTGTGTGCATTAGGAACTTTGACGCTTGACTGGATAGCTGTCAGTGGGCTGGCTGACTGGCTGACTTGGCTGACTTGGCTGAGTTGGTTGACTTGGCTGAGTTGGGTGTTGGGCAAGGGTTGCTGGATGATGGCTTCGCCTCCTTTTGACGTTTGAATTTTGATGCTCCGACAGTTTATTCGATTGTTTTTCTCGCTTTTACTCGGCAAAATTACGGAAGTGCAGCAGTTGCCACTCCTCCCACAGTCCAGCCACCCACTGCCTCATCTGGTCGGTCCTGGGGCTTATGTAAGAACAGAAAATTGCTGGCACAAATGGCGCCCCGGCCGTGTCCTGTTGCTGGTCCTTGGCTGCGCCATGCTGTCCGGCCATCTTCATTAGAATTTATTTTTATTGTTTTGCGCAACTTTCAACTTTTACAACTTTATCAATATATGAATATAGATGCGCATAGCCCGCTTCCGTAGACGCCTTTAATTATGGAAATGCTACTGAACGATAAAGATGACGCTGACAAGGACTAGAGCTAGCCATGACGACCAGTTCGTTAGGCGAATTTTCAATTGCTGCAGCGCATTAAAAAGGTCTTCTAGTAATCTTGTATACAATTATGTTAGACTGCTACTGAATTGTATAACGCAGATCTTTAAAGTAATTGCGAAAGCATTGTAGCTGAGCTAATGCAACAGAGAACTCGCTAAGTATATTATTCAAATATTAATATGATAATGAAAGCGTATGCCTTCAAGTCAGACAGACGCAATAATTACTATGATTAGTTAGGTATGTTGGTATTTGTCTGTATATGGTGCGAAGTTATTATGAATAGAGAATATTATGTTGGACGATCAAAAAAGAATCCTATTGGCATTAAAGCGTTGGCTTGAACTTGGCTTCTCTTTTGTAGATTTCTCTTCTATCACTGTGTGACCTGAGGCAGAGCGCTTATAATCGAGATTATTATAGTAGTACTGAAATAGTTGAGTGGCACTCGGAAGGTGCATGCCAAAATTTGTATCAACGCAAGATCAATATAATATTCAAAGTCAGCCGGAAAGTAGATCTCGCGGAGAGAAGTTGTAGATGTAAAGTGCTTTGTTTATTACGCAAGTATGACACATATACTGTCAGACATATAAAGTTGCACATATATATGTATAAATTATATGCACATACATACATTTACATATCAACTATTTTATGGAATAAGCTAAATTTTCTATCTGCCTTACAAGTTATTTCCTAAAGTCCATAAAGTTCCATCCTTTACATTTATTAAATTTAGTTTAGTTGAACTCTCAATTTATTTATAATAATACGAATTGAAATTAAATTAATATTAATTTTTAATCAATATTAAAATATTTGAAATTCACATTTGCTAACAAGCAATACCTCAGGGTAATCAACTTGCAAAGAGACTCACCTATCGATTCAATTGAAGCATTAAGCAACCCTACACGTGACGAGAGAATACCAAAAGCACATGCCAAATGAAGAATCCTTTCATTATATTGACGCAGCTCGAACGAGAGTCGACGTATAACCTCACTTAATTGAAAATCGAAATCATGTTCATGCAGAAAGTGGATCGGAATGCTATTTACACGGTGCTCTTCCGCTCGGGAGTCATGTTTGCTGAGCGCGCGCTGCAGAAGATGCACCCGGAGGAGGAGCTGAAGCACTTGACCAATCTGCAGGTGATCAAGACGCTGCAGTCGCTGAAGTCGCGCGGCTACGTCTCGGAGCAGTCCGCCTGGCGCCACTATTACTGGTGCTTGAACAACGAGGGCATCGAGTACCTCAGGGGCTACCTGCACATGCCCACTGAGGTGGTGCCCACCACTCTGCAGCGCCGCAACGAGCCCGTGCGCATGTCGCGCGCCTCTGAAGATCCTCGCTCCCGTGGACCGCGTGATGGCAAGGAGCGCGATCGCGACGATCGCACCATGTACCGTCGCACCGAGCGTCCCAACGACTCCGACAAAACGGGCAATGTGGGAGCTGGCACCGCCTCGGTCGAGTTCCGCGGTGGCTTCGGACGAGGTAGAAAGTAAAGTAAAATTACTTTTTTTTTAAATTGCAAATAAAGCAATTACTATTTAATTTTGTGAGCTGACTAGTGGAACTCCAAGTAGTCAGACGCCCAGCTTGTAAGGCCACCTTCCTGTTGTAACATTTGTAACTACAACGGGCGAACAGAGTAAAAGAAAAAAGATTTGCATTTGAATGGGGTACAAGTGTTGAAGGCGCTCGCGGGTTACGGCTTTAAGGGCATAGATCAGAGCCACACGCTGGCAACAAGTGTTCCAGGTGCTAGTCGCCGGCGTCTGAAGTCTGGAGTGTGGAGTGTGGAGTGTGGCGTCAAGTCGTGGGCGCTGGGCTGGGGTCTTTTGCATATCGCGACATGGTCGTGTCTTTGTCGCTGTCTTCGCTGCGAGGCGACAAATAGACTTGTTTGCCCAATTCCCAGCTGCTAATGATGCATTTTCGATGACGTTTCGTGCACATGCAAATTTTCTGTTTGGTCTGGAGCCGCCAAGCGCGACTTACAACACATTGGCATGAGCCAACGTGTGGTGAGTGGGTGTGGAGGGGGACGCGGCATAATCACAGCCATCAGTAACGTGGCGTGCGACATTTATGACACGCTCAACTCCAAGCTCTGAGCCAGGCAACGCGACAGCGTAACATAATATGGCTCATCATCTCCAGCAACGCTGTTAACCTCATCAGTTTCAGCCTCCGCGCTGAGATTGTCACCATCAGTTGCAGTACCCGTCCTTGTCGCAGTATCATAACCCGTCTTCAGTGCCGCCCGCTCGTAATCATGCCCATCAACCTCGCCCTCGACTTTGGCTGAACACAGCCAACGACATCAGCATCAGCATCAGCATCAACCTCATCATCTGAGGCATCAGCTTCAGCTTCAGCTTCAGCTTCAGCTCCAGCACAACATATCACATCATCACACTGGGAATGCATTTTGCATCGCTTCATGTCACATCTTCGCATTTGGCTGCATTCCACCGCCGCCTGCTTGCTCGTGTCGCTGGCAGCCAACGCTCGCTGCAGTCCCCAGGAGTTATTTGCATGCAAGTCAAGGATTTTGGCGGGCCCAAACACTGGCAAATGATCTGCGACTCGTGTGGACCAATTTACAAATAAATGTGCATAAATGTGAGCATTCTCTTAATTCTTCTACTCCCCAAGGATTGTTTACATGCAGTTGAGAGAAATCGAAAGTATAACTGATGCGCTTTTGTTTTCAGCTTGATTTGGATTGAGGGTTAGATATTTGTCTTGAGCTATTACTTAATGGAAGCTTTAATAATTGGTAAATACTATATATATAGTATACCAATAAAATAGAAATAGTTAATTCCTTGACTTTGATTACTCTGCATTCCTGACCTGATGCATTAGAAGTTCTAAGACATTAGATTCATTTGAAGTTGCATATGATAAACATTAATAGTTGTCTCCTAGCGAATAATTCAATGGAGTTGAAACTGTAGCTTACGGGGAATCACACAAGTAAAACAAATACCCTCCTTTCGCTTCAGTTTCAAAAGGGATCTTGATTATTGCTCTGACTTAACGAGAGAGCATAAGTGGAGAGTGCATACTCTTAAATGTCTAAGCAAGGTATATGAATGAGTTCTCAATATTTGTTAGGCTCGCTATCAACAGCTTTTTTGTCTGTCACATATTAAGAGTGCGCTATTGGGGAATGCTCAACTAAGAGATGCCCTGAACCTTCTGCCGAGCTGCGTTCGTAGCTTTAGAGATAAACAGAGATATGAAGGGAAATAGACAAAACTGGAATACTCAGCATTTATGATGGTTTGAAAGAAGAGTAAGAATCAAATGTATATGAAACAGAGCAAAGCAATTAACAGATGCTGATGAGACTGAAGACTGCTCTTCAGTTCACGAGAACGGAATAATACTTTGATTAGCTGAGCGCGTTATTTGTCTGCAGATAACTTCTCCTCGCTCAAACCTTATTGAACATAAGGTACGCTCTGTTTTACAATAAACAATCAACCAGTTCTAATAAATGGAATAATTAATTTTCATTACATATAACATCATCCCAGTTGTAATGCCCTTAATAATAAAAGTAACAAGAGGAGTTTGAGCATAAAGAAAGTTAAAGTTAGATCTTAAAGTGGTTTTCCCGTGAACTTCTTTTTCATTGAATGCAAAACTTCGCACAGTTTAACAAGAGACAAGAGAAAGATACAGAAATAAACGCCTAAACGAGCTCGAATGCCCGCTTCTGGCGTCTCTCTTTGTGAAGTGTCGCTCGGTTCGGCTAGTGTTTGCCCAGTTCTTTGTGAAATTTCGCAGCCCAATTTGTCAGGCGTTGACAAAGACGCTTTGTTGGCTTTTTGGATGCGAATCGCTCGCTGGCTGCTGGAAAATTGCGCCTAGTGGCTGCTGCGTTGGCTTGGCAAGTGGAAAACATTTCCGGATGAGTAACCCATCAGTCAGCGCGCCGAGAGCTGTTGACACCACTTTGGGGGCCAGCGTCATGAGAAGATGCAAAAGTTGCAAAGTGATTTTCAGCTGGTGCAACGTTTAGTCTTCATCTCGTTGCTGTTGTTGCGGCGCAACAAGTGCGCAGTAAATCATGGCGTGCAACATGGGAGCAGGAGGCAGGAGGGAGCGACAGGAGCGACGATGGGGCGTTGCAATTCAGCGCGTGATTGAAAACTGATGGCGTGTTGGCGGCGCATTCGAAATGCATTGGCATTAAATAAACAGAAATTGCGCATTTCTCACGCGGAAATGTATCGCAGTTGACGACAGACAGACTGACTGACAGACGGAGACGCAGACGGAGACGGAGACGGAGACAGAGGCAGAGAAAGAGCAAGAGAGAGAGACAGTTACTCTGATAGACTGACTGCAGCAAGCACATGCAAATGCAGATGCATCTGCAGCGCCTGTCGCCGCACATCTTCACAGCTTTCGTCTCACAGTTGGAGCCATTCGGCTGCCATAGCTAGCGGCACCCACTTAATTTGCCAGCTCGTTGCAGCGCCCGGATGCAGATGCAGATGCAGCTGGGCCACAGTCCGCATCTATTCACGTCACTCGTGCCTGACAAAATGTATCTGTTTGCAATTAAATGTCACCCATTGTGCATAACGGCACTCGGTGTCAGCCTAACCAAATTCCAGAGCACTGCTCGAAACATTATCTGCGATAAGTGCCTGAAAACGTCACCGACATTTGTCAATGCCATAATCAAAATGTTGCCATGCTACTGATTCCAAACTAACTGGAATTGAACTAGAGAGTCAAGAGATAGCTTACTGGTATTTAAAGAGTAGAAAATACACTGGAAAACATTCTTAGTAGAAGTTCCCAATAACTTAAATAGTTCTCATTCAGTTCACACAATACGAGCCGAATGAGAAATAAGCCAAAGTCAAGTTTTATAAAAAACCTTTAGCATATCTGAGCCCTTTCAGCATGTAGAGGAGACCTACTTCATATGGCTACGCCTGCTAATTGGCTTGGCTGCTAAACAGATAGAGAGAGAGAGAGAGAGGGAGAGGGAGATGGGACATGTACGAAGGTGGAAATTGACTATCTCACGGCTGCCATTGAGCTGAGCTGCTTGCGTATTGCAATTCAAACAATTACCATAAATGACGATAAATGGCCAGAGTTTAATCAGAGTTGAGCCCAGATGCAACAGCAGCGGCAGCAGCAGCAGAGCTGGCAACTGGACTGCAGTAGCCAATGGTCAACTGTGCTGGAGCGCAGGCGCAACCTCCTGGGCTACTTTACGATGGCAGTTCGCGGATTTAGCCGCATGTCAAACGTCAACCTACTCCGAGTACGAGTTAAACATGCGCCGCGCAGTGCTGCAGAGACTTTGACTTTCCCAAGCGCTGCCAGAGGCAACGGCACCCATTTGCCATGAAATATAACCTCAATCAACATTCGCTCATTACCAAGCGGCCAGCAACAAGCGGCGGTGGTGGCGGTGGCGGTGGCAGCGGTGTCGGTGTCGGAGGAGTCTGGATGACATTTTATTTATGAATACCAAATTGTAAATTATTAACATGTTTCACGCAAGTTATGGCCGGGCCGAGTGCGAGCTCTGACAGCGAATGTCCATGTCCACGTTCACGTCCAAGTCCAACTCCAACTGCAGCGGGTCGCCAGATAGAGAGAGAGAAAGAGTGAGAGTGGGTGAGTGAGATGGTATGAAGCGACTGGCACGATGGATCGCTGACTGGTCGGTTGGCAAGTCCATTGGACAATCTCCATCTGGTCTCTGCAGGCTGCCTGCTGCCTGCATTTGCTCAATGCAACATTTTCGCGTGGCAAATGAAAAGTTAATGGCCCGCTTGGACATACAAATGAGGTTATTAGCGCTTGATTATGGCGTCCATTTAGAAATGCCATGCCACGGCCATATTGTACTGCACCCAGGAAGCGACATCAATCGACCGAGCGAGCCACAAAAATATAAAAAATGCAAATGACACCGAAAAGGCGGGCAGCATTAAATGTAAGTTTGTTAGAGCCACAAGCTTCGGCTAGTAAACGAAACTAAGCGAATAATAGAATAATATATATAGTCGGAATTATGTGTATAAATAGCTTATAATTTTTATTTATTATACTAAATTGACAGCAATTCATGAAAAACTTAGTTTCATTAAAATTTTAGAATATGTTTCTCAAAATATTTAAAATAATATTAAATATTTTCTATATAGAAAAAGTATTCAACTTATTGTCTTATTGTCCTATACCTCATATTTGTCCACGTTCAATTATTCTGTATGTAAAATAAATCTTATTACAAATCAGCAAAAGCAAAAGTAACTCACTTACAATCTGAATCTGTCTCTCTATCTTTCTATCTCTCTTTCCCTCACTCTAAAGCCTTCTCCCTCTCTCTGCAAATAAGGACATTTTGGCACTTTCTTTTGAACCATACACACACACAGCTTCTTCGAACTTCTTTCCCAAGCATCTACGTTGCTGTGCCAGTTAACTGCAGCGACCTCAAAACGAAGTGTTAATAAATTAACACTCAACTAAGATCCAAAGATCGAAATCAACAACAGCACTTGAATACGCATGCGAATACGTGAGAGTAGGATGCGAATACATATATATCATTTACTTAAAACACAAATCAA